ATTCCTGCTCTGACACATATCAATCATTTGGCAAACACGTTCTGACTGCCTTCCAAGAGCTAAGCCTTAATCTACGTGCTAGAAAAGGGATGTGTGGTTCCTACTTCAAGACATTTTTGGAAAGAGAGACCACGATGCACTCCTTGGCCACAGGAACTCAGGCATGTCTAGGCTGCCTCCTGTGGGGCATGAGGGCAGTTGTTCTGAGCATTATCCATCAGCTCTTCCTCTACTGGCTCTGACACAGGGTCGAATATATGAAAAATATAGAACCCACTTCAAACACCATATGAGCATTTAGATGCCATAGAATATACTTCTGGTTGCCAAGTTTGCCTCCAGTTTTCTGTGATGAGATCCTGATGCCATCTCTGTGTAGAGCTGACTGTGGACAAGGTACAATTAGCAAGCTAGATGGTTATCTTTTAAGTGGGCCTTTGCTTTTTAATTCCTGATTCCATTATTATTGTGTCACTAGATTAAAACGTCCTTAGACCACAGCCTGTGAGGGGGCATTAGAGAATGAAAATACCCCTAAATAGTGGCCTCATCACAACTTAGCTACAGAGGCCTGTTGAAACACACTGCTACGATCCAGGCCTTTCCAATACACATTTCCAAACACACTCACAGAACACCAGGATGTCAGAATTGGAAAAGTCCTAACACAGTATCTATTCCCTATGTTAGGGGTCCCTAACCCCCAGGCCATGGACTGGTACCTGTCTGGGGCCTGTTAGGAACAGGACCGCACAGCAGGAGGTGAGAGGTGGCGAGGGAGTGAAGCTTCATCTGTATTTGCAACCGTTCTCCAGCACTAGCATCACCGCCTCAGCTCCACCTCAGATCATCAAGCATTAGACTCTCACAGGAGCACCCGTCCCTAGTGCCAAAAAGGCTGCTCTACATCACAAACGAGCTTCAACATGCCATTAATGACAGGTGAGTAACAGTACTGAGAAACGTCTGAGGCCACATCTGGGCTTAGTGAGAAAGAGATTGATTAGCAATGTCTGCCCTGGCCAGGGGATGGGAAGCATCATTATGATACAGAGTACCTTTTTCCTTCTGAATCTAAGCCCACAGGTGAGGAATCCAAGGCCCAGAGAGGTTAAACCACTTACCTGAGGCCACATGGTGAGTTTAGGGCAGGAGAGAGAACTAGAACCTCAGCTGGGCTGTTGAGACTGCAAGCCCAGGATGAGAAAGGATGCAGCGAGCCAGATTTGCTCAGGTAAATCAATGACTCTTCCCCTGTGGCATGAGATTTCAGCTAGGCATGCAGAGAAGTGATTAGCCATCCAAAGGATCTCAGCCCCTCTATGGAAAATTAAGGAAGTCATTCCAAGGCTACATTTCTATGGTACTTAACTTTTTGAATGGTAAGGCTCTGCCATCAGGAAGACTGAAAAAAGGGGGAGGGGGGAGGATTGAAATCTGGATCTTCTAAGAGTAAAGTTCAGCTTTGATACAATGAGAAAAACTGTTGATAATTGAAAATTAAGTCATTGGTATTCTATTATCCCACCAATTTTTATTCCATGGTCACTATTATCCAATGAAATCATTTCTCACAAGAGATTATAGCTCAGAAATAGGGAGGGATTGTATTGTATTTCCTAGCAAGGGTTTTTAATGGCCAGTTCCCAAGCCTGGAATATGAAACAGACTGTAGAATTAAAACAAGATGATAAGCAGATGGGGGCTAGAAATGAGAGGGAACCCCAAATTAAAATGAAGATGGCTTCAAGACTGGCTTTTCTTGCTTGGTTTTGCAGTTTTCAAAGCAGCCAGCTGTCTGACCAGATGAATGCTAATATCCTAAAAGCATTAGGTGTCCTTTATAAATCAGCTGTCCTATCCAGCTCCAGAGGCACACCCAGAATGGGTCAGTATGACAGTTATGTAGACTTAAGTTCTAGCAGATGATAAATGCTCTAAATTTAAAACTGTATTCTTCAATCCAGTGGAGAAATCAAGGAGTTAAAAAACTGCTCAAACAGTGGGTATGTTACCCTTAAAGAAACTTCTCTCAAACCCACAGAGAATATATTTTTTTATTTGGATAAAGTCCTGTAAGACTTCCCTCTAGAGGCTCTGCAACTATTTCTACCAGGAAGATCAACGAGGTGCTCTGGGATGATTTTCAACAATTACAAGAGTGACAGGTTGAGCTCAGAACTGGTCAGCCCTATCGAAAACAGGTCTGTGTGCTCAAGATGCCAGATTTCCCAGAGAGCAGCAGCCTGATATGTTCCATGCACGTTCCAGTACACTGGGATGAGGGATGGAACACCATCACTCAGAGAAGTCAGTCTCTTCCCTCGAGGCCAGCTGACATTCAAACACGGGACCTGGGGGCCAAGCCCAGTGCAGTGCATCTGCAAGAGAGTGGAACAAATAGAGGACTGTGTGGAAATTTGGCAGAGTGTTCCTGAAAGACAGCAGATGAATGCAGAATCCTATAGCACCTAGAAGAGCTTATCATTGGGGAAACAGCTCCATTCTGCTGCTCCCAGGAAGCAGAGATTTTCTTTAAAGCTAGGATAAGCAGCTGGCACTCCCTACCACCAGCTCCAAACCCCTTCACTTATTCCTCCTCCTCTTTATAATATTCCAGAGCAAATGAAATGAACAAGAACTAGACCTTCCCAGATGAGCCTATCTGTCCATTTCAGTTAAGGGCTCTGAGCAGCACCCAGCTGTTGCTCCCCTCTATCTGCCCAAAAGGTTGCCTTACTCTATCAATTCCCTCTTGCACAAGTGAGTAATTTACTTTGAAAGCTCAGGCCAAACTGGCAGTTAACCTTGACCTTCTCTCTACACATCTGGGTCTATAGAAAATGAAAATCAGGACGTCTCTGGCATCCGCAGCAAATGAAATACGAGGGTTTTCTCCAGGCAGAGGCAGAATGTCACGAGCTATTTTAGAACTGGCTAGAGATATTCCAAAGGAGAGTCTGCACTTGGGCAGGGCATGCCCCGCTCTTGACCTGGGGCTATGTCTAGTATGGAGCCCTCATAGCTAGGGATGCTGCAATGAGATCCTGCCTCAGGGAAAAAAAAAAAAAAAGTGGTCACTGTACTCTTCAGTGATTCATTGACAACATCACAGAAAGGTGGAGCTGGACCAACAATCACATTTTACAGATGGAGAAAGGGAGGCTCAGAGAGGTTGCTGGAAGGGTGATCGAGGACACACAGAGCAAGTTAATTGTAGAGCTGAGGATAGAACCCTGACTTCCAGACCCTGATGCTGGCACAGGATGGGAAAAGAAGATTTCATGAAGGAAAAACCCATATGAATACAGAATTCAAGAGAGAGAGGTCTAAGTTGGCTGTTAGGCTTTGAACCAGGGATTTAGGAAAGGAGTTAGGGCCCTTAGTTTCCAAATAGAAAAATCAACAGAAAGATCAACCAGGCCCTCCAGGATGATTTGTAACAATTACCAGACTGATAGACTACATTCAAATTGGTCAGCCTTGTCCCAAAGAGCCCTCTGTGCTCAAGATGCCAGACTGCCTAGAGCGCAGCCTGATACTGGGAAGAGGAAGGAGAACCATCAACCCCCAAAATCTTGGCTTCTTCTCTAGTCTTGCCAACAATTAGTCAAGTTTGACCCTTGTGTACAAATTATCTACTTCCTATGGAACCTAGGAAATCCCATAAGAACACCTGAAATGTTCCACTGTGTGACACAGTTCAAGTACGCACATGTGCACTGGCATCTACTGAGGCAGGAGCTGGGAGGGTAGGAGTGATCTGACAGAGCTTCTGCTATCAGTCTATACATATGCCACACACACACACACACACACACACACACGCACACACGGGCGAGTTCAGAGGAGACAAAAACAATAAAGATCCCACCCAGCCTTTGCTGCAAGAAACACCACACCTAACTATACAGACAAGTTCAGAGGAGTCATGAGTACTTTGAGAAGGACACTGGAAACAATTAGCCTCTAGGAAATTTGGAGTGTTCCCCCCATTAGAGCTCCACTTTGGGACTCCCAGAAGGTCAAAGGCAGCTGGCCCCTCAAGGACCAGGAGTTCACCCCCTTCCCCACTTCCAGGGCCTGAAGCTCCAAAGGGAGCATGATCTTTGCATCCTCCCAGGAATCCACAGCGTCTGGAAAGAAATAAGGCTGAGAAGGAGGGAGGGTGAACGAACGGGGTGAGGAGGGAGGGTCAGATGTCTCTTTGGGCAGATGGGAAAACAGGAAAGCAGCCGACCACAGTAGGCAACACTGAGATCAGCAGGTGGGAGAAAAAGCAGAAAAGACCTGGATACCAAATAGAAGGACCGGCATCTCTAGAAGAGTTATCCTGGGATACAGGCATGCAGACAGAGTCCTCCAAAAGAGAGCGAGGGGATACCCAGACAGGGACAGAAAGGAGGACGGTAACCTATGGTAAGAAACCGACCTCCAGACTGGGCATCGGAAGTCCTGGTTTCTAGTTCTGGTCTGTCTCTGATGGGTGTGGGGCCCTGGACAAGTTCCTGTCATTTCCTGAGCCTCAATTTCCCATCCGAAAAATGGGAAGAACAGAAAAGCCTCTGACGCTGACTCTGAGGAGGTAGACAAGGAAAGGTGGAGGAAGCAACTAAAAGCTAGAAGTGAATCTGAGGAGCGTTCCCAACCTCACGACAACTGGAGGACTCACCTGTCCGGCCGCAGGGGGCACCGCCGCCCCAGATCCCCCAGGGGTGCCGTCGGGCTGTCGTTCGCGGTACAGCGCCCAGAGCCCCACGTTGGGTAAAAGGACCAGGGCCGCCAGCACCAGCGCCACCGCCTGCAGAAGCCGCTTCTCTTTCCGCCTCATCGGGGCCGGTCAGCCCCGCCGCGT